TTATGGGTACTTTTTACTGAAGTACATTTCAAAGCCTCTTTACTTTTACTTGAGTAAAGGGTGAGTAACACCAGTGTAATGTGTAACGTTAATGTCAGCTAGCTAAATTCACTTACGCGACTCTGGGATTTGTAGTTTTTACATGGAAATGATTTTTTAAGATTGACAAACATCATATGTGTAATTCATGGCACAATTCAAACGTGATGAAAGAAGGGCGGAAGTAGTGGGCGTGACTTCGCCTCTCTATAGCGACAATGAGTGTTTCAATGTAAATACTTCCCTACCCTGACTGTGGAGCTCACCACAAAGCACAATCATTCCTATTGAATATGTAAATCTTTAAAGCTGAACTAATCAATGTATAAATACTAGAGTGGAAAGTTAAGCAGCAAAAGAGACAGATACTTCTCCTTCTTGGTCGATGAAATTGAGGAAAAAAAGAGACTGAATATTTGATTTAAAATAATACCGAGACCAAAAAAACAACTTTATCTTAATATTACATTTGCTGTGTTAACTGGCTAACACATTAGCACGGCAACTGACTACAGCCGCAATATGACCAAGGTGATAGTCAGCTTGCTTTGGAATATTGGCTGACTTTAAAGTGATATATTATTGTGCCATGGGTTTGCCTTTAGACTGTAGCTTGTTGCGCTGCCCCCAAGTGGCCAAATCTACATGTTTAACATTCTGTATATGCTGCGTTTTTTAGTTTATTCAGAGCTGCAGAATAAGACACAGTTGGCATGTTTGTAATTGGACCTCTAAGGTACAGATATATCAGGCTTTGCTTCACAGAAAATATGTGTTGTTGGTCTTTACATTGGATTTGTTGAGAATAGGACCAATACAGCTTATCAAAAGTATTTTCCTTAACCATGTCAGACTCAAATGTATCTTTTACGAGCATTGTAAAATCAATGGATGTGAATTTAGAGTGAAACTCTTCAGTTGTGCTCTTATGACAGACGGCAATAAATCAGTGGGCATTATCTCAGTACTTGACAAATCACATCACTGTAGACAAATGCTTCGATGGTGTCAGTCCAGATGGCAAATGGAGGCAGGAGACAGCGAAACAGATGCTTAATGTGCCGGGTGAAATCTTGCATGTGCTCGATGGAGTGGAAAACTCACCTGATGGTTCATTCCTTTCATTAGCAACATGTATTTGTATTACAGACGCACATCATACATCTGTCTCTCTAAAGAGCCACCATGTGATGTGATAATACAATGAATGGAGGTGAAGGAGTTGACCTGATGGCCATTGAGAGATAGGAGATAGATAAGAAGATGAAGAGGAGGAGGAGGAGGAGGAGGAGGAGGAAGGCAGCAGTGAGGAGGAGATAAATGCTGCTGCTGGAGACATGAGAATATTGAAGCTCAGCCAGATCAAGTCACTCAGTGAGGCATTACAGAGTGGGTTCGTTTTGGAGTTTAGTCAAAAACTGTATGCAAACCGTCAACAATGCACCATACGTCTATTATGTTAAGGTTTAATTGCATTACTAGTTTGGATTTATTTCCTTTTGGCCAACAACTAAGACATTTCTTAAATAAATGAAATTCAGATAGTCTTGAGGATGTTCTAACAAAATAGTATTTCTCACACAAATCCTTCATTAGATGGAAGTGGTTTTAATTGTAATCCTAATTACTAACACTGAATAAATCTTTCTGCTGAAATACATTTTATTCTCTTGACTGAAAAAATACATTTCAGAAAACCTCTCAACAAAAAAGAGAGGCTGTATTTCTGTCTTCTGTTTCTTATATGGAAATATTCCCATCTCTGTTACATAAGAAGCTACTTAGCAATCATTTATACCATGAATGCTAACGAGAAATATTCAAATCAACTACTTCAGAGAAGAACTGTATGTAAACTGAATTGATGTGAGCTCACCCTTCATTACCTCTCTGCCTTGGACGTATTATAATGTGGCGATAATGTGTGTGTGTGTGTGTGTGTGTGTGTGTGTGTGTGTGTGTGTGTGTGTGTGTGGTGTGTGTGTATCTGTGTTTTCTTTCTCCTTCCTGCTTCTCATTGAGGGATAGCTGAGTCCCAGAGGATCCGTCTGAAGTGCAGGGAAATGATTCCCCTTTATCACTTGCTACCAATTTTCTGTTAAAGCGCCAAAATAAGAATTGGATTTTTATGCAATTGTCAGAATATAACAGGTCCATTATCTAAGCCCCGCCCACCTTATGTACTTTCTGTTCTCACATGTGACATGAGGCAGTTTACGATAAGGGGATGAATAAAGGTTTATCTCACGTTATCTCATATCATTTCATGAGCTGATAATCAGGCTAATGTTAGCTCCAATTCAAACATGCAGGTAAGTAAAAGGGCAAACGTTATTGTTACTATTTTGTTCTGCCTTGTTTACGTTCATGTTGGACATTTTTCCTGCATGTTTTCACTTTTAATGTTACAATATATTAAGACAATGAGTGGAAATGTTATACCGTGAACTAAGCCTTTTAGCTTTGAGCCATAGAATTAGTTTGAGTTAGTTGTTTGTCTGATTGTTTGTAGAAACATTCGTAAATTCAATTGATCTGCAAGTGATTGATCAGCATTTCAAGGTGCAGGGTGATCGAGTGAGAGGTAGAAAGTGAAACAAGCGGAAAGGATGAACAAACAAGGAATGCTGGGATGCAACACAAAAGGTGAAGGTTGTTACTTGGTTGTGCTTTTATTTGGTCAGACCTACCATGCATGCATTTAGACCCAGGAGTCAACAGGCTGGGGCTTTACATCACAAGCGTCCACCAGACTGACCGCAGGCCTGTTACTCCTGATATAGTGTTTCCTATTTGTGTCATTCTGTAGCCACAGGACGACGGGGTTAAAAAAAAAAGAAAACACAGCAAACAAAAAAGAAGTCAATACATTTCACAAATACACTCGCCAACCCACGCCACATGCATCTAGGATCAGAGGAGCCCGTGTTAGTTCCCTGCCTTCAGGAGGGCTTGGAAAGAGTGATTTGAAAACAGTGAATCAAAACATGAAAATGAAAGAGGGAGAGAGCGGTTTCACAGCCGAGTAGCATTCAAAGCAGGGAGAACACCTCTGGGAAGAGCAGACGGTAGACTTAACACTTTGGACTAACGCTACAAAGCCTGCGCGCTGAAAACAAACACGCCTGTGATTACTGTCCACGGCTTCTAAACCCCACGCTGCCCTTTCAAGATGTGACAGGACTCCAGCATAAGTAGTGAACCTACGGTAAATATGATTACGTGTCAAGACTGAGGTCAGTGTTGAGTCACGAAGCTGCCAAAAGATACTATGAGGTACTTCAAGCAGGAACTTTTTAAAGGCTATGGCCAGGGGCGCCGCCAGGGATTTTGGGCCCCATGAAAAGATATCACATTGGTTACTTAAACGTTTTTTTCTTAATGTTCTAAAATAGTTTGGGCCCCCTGTCAGTCACGGGTCCTTAGAATCGTGCTAACTTTTCACCCCCTGACGGTGCCCCTGGCTACGGCGCTCGAGGAGGGTTTTTATTTGACACAATAGTCTTCTACAGGAATACAACTGGTTTACTGTACACAGCAATAAGCGAATGTGTCAGTGTCAAATGTGCTATAAAATATAACTACCTGCTGTTTTAGTTAGTAGTTAAGTAGTTTTATGGAAAGAATATGTTGGTAAAAGATACCTTCTGATTTAAATATTTGTCCTGTTTGCTAATCCACATGTATTCCATTGCCAGTGGGATTTAGATGATGACGCCGAGAAGCTGTTAAGTATAAGTAAAGCTGCTTATTGATATTGATTTCCACTTCTACGGTAAAACGTTGTAATGTTTCTCAAACGCCATAGCCGTCATCTTAGCCTTTGCTGGTTTTTTTCAAACGTATTTTCCTTTAATTAGATTCTTAGTGTTGCTAACCATGAGTTTAACCTCGCAGATTGATGCAGTGGTGTAGAGGTGTGCTCCAGGGTGTGGTCAGTGCACCGTGGCGTCACAAGAAACACTAATGACAAGCCAAAGGACAGAGCTGCAAACAAAGTGGACCTTTGCACCAGAAAGGGAAAGTGGCTTTTCAGCAAGGTGGTAAGTTCCCCAATAAACAAAACAAATGACTTTAGAGAGGAAATACATTCTGAAATGCAACCTGAAAAATGTCTAGTTTCTAACGATCAGCTATGATCTCAGATGATTTGATGTTAAAGACCACTGTGGCTCACACAATAAGCTGCAACTTGTGTAGAGACTATTTCTACAAAGAGCGGACATTGTTGCCACATCGACGCCTTTCAGGAAGGATAGGTTATATATCGAAACAACATCTTTTAGTTCAGATAGATGAGCCACAACATAAAGAAGGAGACAAGTCATACAAACCCATTTTCTGTAGGAACTTAAATCAAAAATATTTCCATTGGTATCATAAACTCTACCAATCTCTAATAAAAGGAGAATAACTACAGACTGAGGGCAAACTAAGAGCTGAACCCGACAGGTTTATGAACTTTGCTCGCGTCATTGTGGCTTTGCCTCTGAGAGATCTTTAGGAGCTGGTTGTAACCTGCACAGAGAAGCAGATATATGACCGTGGATTTAAGCTAAACTGGCTTTAATGGACTCTTTATTGCTTTCATTTTAAAACCCCGCAGGGAAAGAATCCCTTTCATCTAACACCGAAGCAGATCAAAACCAAACTACAAGAAAGGACTTGAGAGTCATCTGACATGTGTCATCCGTGCTCGGAGGCCATTATTCTGCGAGTCCTCTTTGAGGCTGAGCAGCCAATCAGATGAGCAAGAAATAAACTTTGACTGCGGTGTATAATCAGCAGAGGACCACTTGATAACGCAGCGGTCTGTTCAGAGCCGGAGCGAGGGTCCCCTCCACCGGGAGCGTTTGTTGGCAGTTCGTTTAATCAGTCTCAGATTAATTGCTTTACAGACACCAGAAGCTTACACTCCATGAACTCTCAGATGTGCACGGAGCAACATTAACGGAGAATGACAACTTCCAGCCTCTTTACAGAATGGATAGGATTAAGAGCCTCTGATGAGGACCACCACAGAAAACATGGAGAGAGAGAGAGAAGGAAGAAGAAGAAGGACACAGAGGAAGAGGCCATATCATTATTTCATCCTGTTTCCTGCGGGCGCCCAGAAGAAGAAGCCTTTACCTTTAATGGCTCCCGTTCTGTCTGCTCCACTGAGCCGTCCACCGTCTTGTATTTGAGGTCCTTGTCCCTCTGGTCGATGGTGGAGTAACCATCTAATGAGGGCAGAGAACAAGGGCCGCTTAATCCTCTCTGGCCGCCATTTAACAGAAAAGTGACAGTGTTGTTGTTTTTACAGAAGTGCCTGAACGTTAATAGACACAACGAGGTGCTTTTAGTTAAGTGAAATATCTACTTCTTCCTCCTCTGCCTGCAGCAAATATGAATCAAACTTTTGCCTGACCTTGTGTGAGATACAAAAGAGAGCACACATGCTTTCTCTATACAAACTGCAGACCTTGCACCCTAACAGCGACGGGAATGATGTGGGTTTTGCAGCAGAGAGGAAGTGGGTCTGTTTCAGCAGCAATACATCAAATCTCCTCAGATAATACACAGGTTCCTTCATTTCTCCACCACTCAGCGTGAAGCTTCAAATGTTGTGCATTTATAATTATTAATGTGTTTTAGCAACACATTTTTTATATTTTTCTGAATTTGCAATGTTATCCCTGTTACATACTAATATACATTGAGCTCTGAATGTTGTAAAAGAGCCATGTGACACAGTTCTCCTTGTTCAAAGTCGCTTCATACAAGTCCTACTCTGCGGTATTTTTAGCCCTACTTTAACTTCGAGCTCAATTCCTAAAGGGATTCTTGGACGCTTGATAAATATGGGCTCAGCGTGATATACCCTATGAGGATGTCTTTGAGTAAGTGTATGAATAATACCCTCTAAAGGAGAATTCTTTATGGCAAACCCTCTTATTTGATCTAAAAAAACAGCAAAACACTTCAGAATGTTGAACAACAGCAGGATTTTCACTTTGAAAGAAGCCCAGCCGAGCAGCTCTGCCCAACGAGATATTAAACGTGTTTTTATTTAAGTGGAGAACCACCCACATGTTTTAGTGTTAATCTTCTAATTAAGACCCAGCTTTGAACAAACATCTTGTCAAGAGAGGGGTCTTGCATTCAGCATCAAAGACGACATGTCTGCGAGATCACAGTGTGCAGCGGTTTGAAAAAAGAGCATCTTGGCAACGCTTAAAAAAGTGAGTGGAAGAGATGTCGAATCAGAGACGCTGTTTGGAAACTGGAGAGAGATTAGAGGAGAGCGAGCTGTTCTTTGGCGAGGGACCATCATGCAGTCTGGCTCTTACCTGGACCCAGCTCCTCCACAGGTATCATATCACCACTGCCACATTTCCTGGTGCCTGCATGAAAAGCATCCATATGCCGTTTGTACACAAAAAAACTGAGTCATGGAGCCAAACGCTGCTTCTTTTTCGGGGTAATGGTTCTCGGCCAGTGAGTGGATAATGCAAACTGAGAGTGGGCCGGTGTGAGCGCCGTGTTTCATGTGAATGTATGGATGCAAAAAATTTAAATCAAAAAAGGCCGGCACAAGGCCATTAAACTGATGATATGCTTTGGACTCTTCTGTCAAAGAGATGTTTGTTGTTGGGCCAATATTCTGCAAAAGTCCTCCCCACCCCCGCCTCATTTACTGCTGCTGCTAAAGAAAACCTACAACCCAGTTCTTGATGGTTAGGGGACATTTAAAATTATCTCTGACCTGCTTACGTCAATTTAAAACCACGAAACAAAAAAGAATAAGGACAGTTTATATTGGTCAAAACAAACTTTTTCTGCAAAGCTCCCACTATGATATTTATTTGTAATTCCCCTATCAATTCTTGCAAAATACACACACACACACACACACACACACACACACACACACACACACACACACACACACACACACACACTTTACTGACTTACACACACACACACACACACACACACACACACACACGCCTTGGTTCTTCTCCATCAGGGGGAGGGGGTGTCGTCGTAGCCTGGCTTGCCGTTCTTGGTTGCTTTAGGGGTGACTGTCGCTGTGGGCTGAGAGCAGAGAAAGACAACATGTGAACACAGAATCAAGCTCCAACAGGGACAGGTGGAACCGAGGGAATATGTTGTCTGTCTCAATGCTAATCAGGATTCTGACCAGACAAATATAATATCATATTAAAAAAGTTGACAAGCGACATGTTCAATATTAGTCTCTTTGTCCATTTGGCAGGATTATGAAAAACTACCTGTCCGATTTTCATTAAACCGAGGGGACAGGGAGCTACATATTGCAGCAGATCTGAATCACAGCAAAGTTCCACAGACTCAGTATACATTTTAATAACATTGCATTATTTGCTACGTTCATGTGGTGACGAATTAATCAGAAATATAAAATCACATGAATGCCCTCTTTAAGTAGGAACAAAGATACCAAAAAATTGGCCAACATTTGAAGACAAATTTCATAATTTAATCGGTTTCATCTGCTTTTCATTTTCCCACTAATGCTGGAAACACTAATAGCTCTTTGTAGTGTCCCCAAATTAGTATTTACAGCTCGGGAATATTACAAAGTTGAAAAAATGACTCGGGGAAACCAAGTTGGGTAGTGAGTCCATCGAAGGAGCACATGAACGCACCATTGGCCTTGGCAGGAGTTCATTGGCGATTTATATTCAAATCATTCTACGAAATGAGTAGTTGCTACTCTTTTTGTACACTCTCTTAGAGGGACACTTTATTTAAAGTGGTTCTTCTCAACATCAGACGTGGGAAGTAGCGGAGTACAAATACTTTGTTACTGTACTTAAGTACATGTTTCTGGTATCAGTACTTTACTCCACTACTTATTTTTCTGAAGACTTTTAACTTTCTACTTCTTACATGTTGAAGCCAAACACCTGTACTTTCTACTTCTTACATGTTGAAGCCAAATACCTGTACTTTCTACTTCTTACATGTTGAACCCAAATACCTGTACTTTCTACTTCTCACATTTTCCAAAGAGGCTGGTTCCTTTAGTCTGAATGTGTGTTTGGTGGCGTGATCATTATTATTTAGAGTCATTGCGTGCCTATTGATTTGAACACGATCCGTGTATCCATCCTAAAGAAGAGGGACCAATGAAACGTTGTCATGTTGCCGTTGTTCAGCATGGAAACATTCATTAGCTAACAATGACATTATTGTTCTATTAATATAAAGGGAGGTCAGGTACTCTTTAAAACAGCTGCTAGTTATGGGTACTTTTTACTGAAGTACATTTCAAAGCTCTTTACTTTACTTGAGAAGTTTTGTCAGTACTTCTACCAGAGTATTTTTAAACACAAGTATCTGTACTTCTACTTGAGTAAAGGATGTGTGTACTTTCGCCATCTCTGCTCAACATTTGTGTCTCTAATTGTTAATAAAATATATTCTTTAAGAACCTGAGATAACAACATCAGTGTTTAGGATACAGATTATATGTGATGATTTACAAGATGAGACTTCTGTACCTGGAAGTGGCTTTTGTTCCATCCGTCCTTGGTCAAAGCGTTCCTCAGTTCCTTATAGCTCCAGACCGTCTGCAGAACGTGGGAAGCAGCCTTGGTTTCGCGAGCCGATTGGCTGAGAGGAGGCCACAGACAGGAAATGAAGGAATACAAAAACAACAATTAAAGACAGAAACCTAAAATAACCCCGAACAGTGACGCCTGGGTATATTCAAAGACGCAGAGTCCCCTGAGCTGCTCCAGGGTCTACTTTTTCATTCATAGTGAGATGAGTGCACATTTCCTTTCATTAGCTACCTCTGAGACGCCAGTATTAATTACATGTGGGTGGGGGCCGCGCTTCAAAGAACGCTAATCTCATGTGGGTGAGAGGAAATGCAGCTATTTGGCCTGAGAGTGAATTATTTTGCATACTCATGCTAGTTAGAGTGACTCTCTGATCAATACTTCACCTCACAAGGTCGGGACTTTGAGAAGTGCTCTTGATGTTAAATTAAAAGCAGGGTAGACACACTTCAGTTTGACTGGCTGACACTGCGGTCATTTAAAAACAACTCTTTAGAATACCTGCGTTCATATCTGAGAGTTTTCATTACAAGGTTGTTGTGGAGAGCTTTAGAAGTATGACGACACTCTTATATAAGCAGCAACTTCAGAGACCCCCCCTCTATAACAATGCTTCTGAAAGCCTGTTAATTAATGTGTGGTGTGTTGTTATGTGTGTGTGGGCGCAGCTTGTTAGAGTAAAGCATTGTGGGAGCCATTAGAGACACATTGCATTATCCTCTATGATTTTAAAAGCTCGTTGCATTCAAGGTCACGCAGTAATTATTACATGTGTCTCCACGGTGTTTCTTTACTTGTGGCACGGTTCACATGGATATGAATGCACAGTGTGTGTTTGGCTCACTGTCGGAATAGAATTAGATTGACCTACAGTATTAAATCGATGATAGGAAAACGTGTGTTACAGCATCACTGGACATAGTGAGTAATTGGGTAAAATATGAACTCTTTAAGGAAGCTTATTTTTGAAAAGAGGCAACAAGTTTTGAGTGTTTAATTGTGCATATTCAATATAGGGGCGGCCAATGTGTAAAAGGTAGCTTACTTATTACATACATTCTTCATGTTGTAAAGTCACATTCATTTGGGATGTACTGTGTACACAGGTGGAAGAAGTAATCAGATAAGTAATAGTAGTGATATTAAATTGTAAGTACAAGTCCTGCATTCATTCACTCATACTTTTACTTGAGTAAAAGTACTGGCATCAAAATATACTTAAAGGTGGGGTAGGTCATTTTGGAGAAACCAGCTCGAGTGCGCTAGAATTAGAAAATACACAGCCGGAAGAAATCTGCCACTTCCTTACAGAGCCCCTCCTCCAACACACATGAACGCGCACATGACCAATGAGGGCACGAGATAAGTTTGTGCACAGATGGAAGGCTGACAGGCAGGTAGGCCATCCAGTTATTTTACCCGGGCCGGCTCAGATGATTGGTCGTGCTTTTTACAGCGCCACAGCTTCCACAGATGAAATTTTTTTATGGATTTTTTGTCAAAGCACTTCAGATATTCATTGCTATCGGGATGTTAAGAGCATTCCATGGAATATAACGAAAAGTGTATCTCGAGCCGGTTTCTCAAACTTACCTACCCCACCTTTAAGTAACAACAATGAAAAGACTTGTATAGTGGCAGACAATACAATCATGATTATGATTCTTGATGCATTCATGTGTTCATCAAAGCCAGTGAATATTGAAATAATATGAATTACTTTGTATACGGCTGCGGGATATCCTCACTTATAATTATAGGTAATTATTTTTTTGATTAATTTAGATGTTATATTAGTAAAAAATGTGAAGCAAATACATTTGGTGGAGAAAAAAGAACAATATTGGCTTCTAAAATGTAGTGTAATTAAATAGGTACCTTAAAACTGTACTCAAGTTCAGTACTGGATGTACTTCATTACACCCCACCACAGTCTGTATTGATTGAGTCTCACCTGGTCCGGTTGATGGCCACCAGCTTCTCGATGGCCTGCGCCTGAGCGAGGGAGCGGGCGTTCTCCGAGGAGTCGGTCACGATCTCGTGGATGGTGTTCAGGATGGCCACCACCGTGTCCTCCTCCAGGTTCTTAGCCGGCCGCTGCTGGCCCGACGGCAGGTTGCTCACCAGGTCCCGCATGGCATAACTTCCTGTAAGGGCACATTATTGTAAAGGTTAATAATGTTAGTAATAGTGATTCATTTAAAATCTAATCAAGAACACAAATGAAACAGGTAATTATATCAGGCTTACTATTAAATATGCCTTAACGGGTTTTATAGAGGCGACACATGTAACTGCGTCATGCTGTTTCACTAGGATTTCAGACAGCATATTCTTGCCTTGAATACATTTACATTATTGTTTTTAGCTTCAGAAATACTCTATTTAATCAAACTCCAGCGGTTAGATTTAACAATAAAAAATATAAAAAAGTTATTAAGACATTCTTTGTAGGAACTTTGGAAGACGACAAATCCATAAACTCACACTGCTGCATCCTCATATTAGCTTTAAATTACATTTGAAATGTATTTTTGCACAAAATTGGGATTTTTACACCATCTCATACAATGGAGTTAAATTACATTTATGGTCAGGAGGAATAAATACAGCCTTTCAAAGTTAATGACGCCTGAGTATCGTTTGAAAGATGTCTGAACATTTCCTTTCGGACGCTCCGTATCTAACAACAAAGTCTACAATATGTCCGTCGATTTGGAACCGAAATGCTTCATCAATGATGCCATGTTCAATCAGTGTGTGAGGCTGTTGTTGGTACCGATCAGGTCCTTGTTGCGGCGGTCGATGGAGAGGTTTCTCAGCGCGATGGACACCGCCCGCACCACCTTATCAGAGTCAGAGCGCAGCAGCTCCACCAGGATGGGAAGACCTTTCTCCTTACGCACCGTGGCTCGGATGTAGTTGGACCACTGGAGGGTAGAAAGAGGGCGGGATGTGACTACTTTTCAGAATTTTTTAACCTTTAACCTCCACACTGACAGCAACTTCCTGTTTGACATTCATGCAGACACACACAGACCCACCTGGGAGCTGCCCAGCATCACCATACATCTTTTTTTGTTACCACTGGGAACGCTCCACTGAAGGAGCCCAGGTCACCTCCATGAGGACACACACACATACTGTACACACACTCACACACACACACACGCTCAATCATTCATTCAGTAACTACAAGCTCTGCTCCTTGACTTATTCATGACATCACACAGCGGGACTCTGAATGGACATGTGATATCATTTGTCTTCATTTAAACATCAGTGGGTTTTACGTCTCATTTTTTTTGTTCCATGAAACATTAAGTTTGACATAAAAGGGTTTATCTTCTAAGCACTGAGACCCCGAGAGATGCAATTAAGGCAAGGACAGGCCTGGGTGATCCACTAGGTGGCAGTAGTAAGCTTTAAGAGACATGTTGATCCAGTGGTAGAGTAATAAGAAGGAGCAAGGAGTGAAGAGGATTGAAAGAAGCCGCTCTATCCTCTCAGGGAGCAGGGCAGGCTTCGTGCAGATGTGACAGAGTGATGTGACAGAGTGATGTCACAGCGGCTCCAAGGGGGCCTTTTTTTTGTGCTACAGAGGAGGAACTTCATAGGGCAAATACAATAAGTCTAGCTAACAATTAAGAGGCAAACACAGGTTGAAAATCAAATAAGAACGTAGGATTTTTTTCTTTTAAAGAGTCCTCTCCTGCTGATGTTCAGGTGTATATCAGTATGTAGTGTCTCTACTTTAAAGAGTTCTCTCCTGCTGATGTTCAGGTGTATATCAGTATGTAGTGTCTCTACTTTAAAGAGTCCTCTCCTGCTGATGTTCAGGTGTATATCAGGTAGTGTCTCTCTTTAAAGAGTCCTCTCCTGCTGATGTTCAGGTGTATATCAGTATGTAGTGTATCTACTTTAAAGAGTCCTCTCCTGCTGATGTTCAGGTGTATATCAGTATGTAGTGTCTCTACTTTAAAGAGTCCTCTCCTGCTGATGTTCAGGTGTATATCAGTATGTAGTGTCTCTACTTTAAAGAGTCCTCTCCTGCTGATGTTCAGGTGTATATCAGTATGTAGTGTCTCTACTTTAAAGAGTCCTCTCCTGCTGATGTTCAGGTGTATATCAGTATGTAGTGTCTCTACTTTAAAGAGTCCTCTCCTGCTGATCTTCAGGTGTATATCAGTATGTAGTGTCTCTACTTTAAAGAGTCCTCTCCTGCTGATGTTCAGGTGTATATCAGTATGTAGTGTCTCTACTTTAAAGAGTCCTCTCCTGCTGATGTTCAGGTGTATATCAGTATCTAGTGTCTCTACTTTAAAGAGTCCTCTCCTGCTGATGTTCAGGTGTATATCAGTAT